TCACGTTAATAAATAAGTAAAATTTTCCTATCGTATAAGTGTTTGTCTTCTTTAAAAATACCATTAAAAAAAAAAAGAACGAAAGGAGCTATTAAGCATTTCTATTTGAATTCATGTGCACAATGCGTCACATTGAAACTATTACTAAAATAAGAAGTATCTTAGAAATTATACAATAGCGTGCAAAACATGTAATTATTCTGTGTAATAATGTAGCAGTGATGTAATTGTTAAGCAAACAGCCATGAAATTGTAAACAACAGGCTTGCGTGATCAGTGCAATGATCCTCCAATTCAGTAGAAAGGTGATTATTCATATATTAGGAACAGACCGTCATAGGTAACGTAGGGGCCACACAAAACAAATGCCTCACGTAGAACAAGAATACCATTACAAAACAAAAAAAAAAATTAAAATTTAAAAAAAAAAGGATGAAAGGCGCTATGGTTTTCTCTTCAAATTTGAATTCATATGCAATTGTCAAGAAGAAACAATTACTTAATTAAGAAATACTTAAGAAAAATATACACTAGCATGCAAACTTAAATAACTATGTAATTGTTACAAACAGTCATGAAATTGGCAGACAACAGGCTTATTGCAATCAGTGATCAGTACAATAACCTTCCAATTCAATTGATTATTCGTATACAAATATTAGAAATTATGCAAAACCACGCTGTAACAAATAAGTTAATTAGTTTTTAAATCAGAGTATCTCCATAACAGCAACCTTTCATGAAACGCACACGTTAAAGAAAAAACGTTTAATTTTCAGTGGCTTTTTACGCAGTTGGTAATCAATGAAAACATCCTTAAAAAAATAAAATTAAAACAAGATTGCGAAAGCACAACCTTTCTTTCTCTATCTTTTACACGGGGTGAATTTTTCCGTAAACTAGGCAAATTAAAAAATATGCGCTTTTAAATTAACGACGCACTGCAGTAACTTTAATGGGTTTTCGATTTCGCGTTGAAAACTCGACTTAATGACTTCCTCAAAAGGCGAAATCAACGAAACGCGAAAAACACTTCCCATTAAAAATTAAAAACCGCATAATAGGTGGGACAAAAAACCACAGGTAATAATGCACGTGCCATCGTTAGATCTCGTTCATTAATTACTGATGAGTTTTCGAAATAGTGAATGTTCTGCTTTATATTATTTTTTGCTTTTCTAAATGTTCGAAATGTGTTATATTCGTTCGAGGGAGAGATGTGATAGGTAAGGGCTTTTTAACTTTGCAAAATATACAAAGCTTGTGTGCTGATGCATTCGGTAAGGATTATTGGAATTAATTTGTTAGCAATCATCGAGAGGTGTGGATGTAAATATGACTCTCTCACTGATGGTTGTAAAAAAGGCTGGTAGCTGGTACATGGAACGCAATGAAGTAATCGTTGATAATTACAATATTTATGGATAGGATATTATGAAAAAAAATATTAACCCTTTCAATTGTACAATATTTATTCAAAGGAAAAGAAGTTAAATATAGCGCAATGCATCTAGTTAATGTGGTATTAAGGTATTTAAATTTGCAGGCAAATAATTTGTAAATAATTTAAGGTAATGGATTGGTAAATATTTGATTCCTTGGTATGCATTCGAAGAAGGAAAAGAAAAAAAAATGACGTAAAGTTGCATGTAAAACAGACAAATAATTCTTAAGAAGAAAAATTCTAAATAATGTATAAAAAAGATATTCACGTTAATAAATAAGAACATTTTTCGTATCATATTAATGTTTGTCTTTTTTATCAAACTGACTTGTTTTTAAAATCGTAAAGTAGATTTAGAAGTTCTAATTACTAAAATATGAAATATCTTATAAATTATATACTAGCGTGCAAAAACTTAAGTAGCTATGTAATTGTTAAGCAGAAAGCCATGGAACTGTAGACAATATAGCAATAGATTTATAACGATCAGTAGAATGACCATCCAATTCAGTAGAAAGGTATACTGTATATAAATATCAGAAACAAGACGTCACAGGCAACATAGGGCCACAACAAAAAAGTGCCTCACGTGGAACAAGAATACCATTAAAAAGAGCAATTAAATATTTTCTCATCAAATTTGAATTCATATGCACAGTGTGTGAAGAAGAAATAACTTGAGCGACTTTGCAAGTAATAGAATGATTGACAAGCTTGAGGAAGGGCGTAATGCGACAAGAGTAAACCATGAATTTCGAATCCACAAAGGTGTCGTCATGCTTAGAAAGCCTTCTAAAATAATACAAGTATAGTTGAAAGTAAGGTTGGTGGGAACGACCACGGGGCATCACAATGGATAAACAATATATATTGTCCAGCAGCAGTATCGAAAACCAGTGAGTGGTCAGCATTGCTCAACAACTGCACGCGCAAACAGAATGACAAGAGAGCGACAACTGTAGCCAGACGAATAAATGTGGTCTATTGACCCATAGACAGCTGCTCATTGGAGGCACAGTTTACACTGGTGAGCGGAACACAAAGACTGGACATCCCAACAATGAAATCATATATTCTTTTATGAAAGTGTTTCAAAACTAAACTCATTCAACGCCAGTTGAAACGGTTTTATTACACTAACATTAGGGACAAAGAAAGTTGCGATTGTTCGTAGCATACATACGTGAATCATACAGACCGCTGATGTTCAAAAGTTCTCGATTCGGCATTGCCCTATTGGGTTTCGAAACAGAATCCTTTTAGAACGGAAACCCAATTCACTATCTAACCTGTCGTTTTGGTTAATGATGATAATAAAATAGAAATATTTAAAATTCACTTAAAAATAATTGAGGGTATGTGGTCAGAGGGCGAAAAATTAAATTTGTTCAAATATTATTTAAGCTGTGGGATATTAGTAATTTTGAAGGAAAAATAAGAGTTCAAATATCTGCATTAGGGATTAATAGGTTTTTAGGATTAATAGCTTCATTCTTATTGGAAACAAGAAGTAAAAAAGTTCAAACAAGTTAAATTATTTGTATTCCACGCGGTGTAAAAGCATTTTTATCGGTTCAATAATTAAAAACCACAGGGGATAAGAAATCACACAATTTGTATAGTATAAAAGTATATAATAATTGAATTACTGCTGTTTTTTTCCCGGGAAAACCCTCATAATTTTCAAAATGAAAATTGAAAGTCTCTCATAATGAATAAATCTCATAATTTACTTATAAGTAAAAATAAAGAAAATTTGTATTACTACGTTTATAAATATTTACAGGAAACTTTTAAAAAAGTATTAACTACCATCTAAAGAAGTATTGTTATAATACTTTTTAAAAAATGACAAAAATTTGGCCATTTATAATGTTTAAGATGGTTAGTTATCGAAAAATTCAGGCATGTTTATAACAATTTTTTTTTAAATTTTACCAAATAAATTTCGTTAATTTACACTTTTCTAAATAATAGAGAATTTTTTTATAAAAAACCACAATATTATGAAAAAAAGTAAATAAAACTGAGAGAATAAATTTTAGATACTTTTTATCAATCTTTCACATAATAATTTTATTATAATTAAAAGCTTTGGGAAAACGGCATATTATGACACTTAAAATCATAATGAAATTATGAATTTTCTTTTCAAGCACAATTTTTTTAAATACTTGGTGTTTTCTTTCAAAAAAAAAATAGTTTGGTATTTTCTTAAACAAACCTATACGTTCGTTCTTTCGACACTAGATGGCAGTAAACGAGCAAAGTCCGAGTGAAAGCGATGCCAGGTCGTAAATTAGATTCTGGAAATTTCAATTCGGCAAATGGCAATAATCGTATAAGCACGGCTATTCTTAAATAATAACTCATTAAAAATTTTTAGTTATGTGTTATAAACAGCAATGTATATAAAAAAATACGTTGTTTTTTGCGGAAAATGAAAAAGAGATTGTAAAGAAAGAAAATTTTTATGATAATAATTATTCGAAATCTGCATCTCAGAACTCTCCAGAATCTTTAAATTTGATTTTTAAGAATTCTGAATTTTATTTCTAAATTGTATTTTATTATATCATTAGCTTATTTATTTATTTTAAATATGAACAATCGATTCTACATTTTATTTTAAGAATTTTTGTTCTACTCCAGAATTTAAAAATAATAATAATAATAATAATAAATAAAAGTAAACAAAAAAATATATGTATTCATGCGCTTTTTTTTTTACAAATGATTGTTTCCTAAATCCTGAAAATGTCATAACATTTTTGCTTAAGATGAAAACCCATTTTTCTTTCTTTTTTTTTTTTTTTCCACTATACAGGAAAATTGAATGATACGTGATTCACTCCTTTCAACGACGAAAAACTCAAGTTTTTCAGCAAAAAAAGGGGGAAAGAAATGTATCTAACTTTTGGGCCCTTTTCTTTTTATTGAAAAACAATTTATTAAAAGAAAATACGATACGGTAATTAAAAGTTTGTATCGTTTAAATGATTGAAGAATAAAAAACCTCTATAATTTTAATTGCATATGTAGTATGAGTATTATTTAATGTAAACAATCGAAAGCCAACTTAAGACTGTAATGTCCGCGTGTGCTTTAATATTACCAACTAACATAGCTACTGCTGCAAAGATATTGAAATGAATGCAGATATACTAACTGTTTCAGTAAATATATTGTATAATTGATTTTTTACAGGTGAATCAACAATCTAACAAATGTTGACAATGCATGTTCCCACTTGATAAAACAGAGATAACAATGAATAGTAAATGTTACTCACTCTTGATTAATAGGTTCCACCGACTCTAATACTATGCATTAAGAAATTTATTTTTTAATAACCTTGTTTTAGCGAAGGATGCGCATTCTTTCAAGTACGTGTATTATATATATAGGTGCAGCATTTATTCTCTATATAATTTGGTTTCTTGGTAATTGATTAATATTCCCTTTTTTCCTTTTCGTACACATTTTTTTTTTTATTATTAATTGTAGTAAAAAAAAAATAAATACCATTCACTTACATTTAGATTTTACACATGCCAACGGCCATACCATGCTGAATATACCGGTTCTCGTTAGATCACCGAAACTCGCTGATCATTGGGCGCGGTCAGTACTTGGGTGGGTGACCACTTGGGAACACCGCGTGCCGTTGGCATTCACAAATTTAGACCTGAATGGCCGAGTGTCTGACGCTCGGTGCCACAGGTTCGAATCCCGGCGGTGCCATGGATGTTTGTGGTGGTTCGGAATCCACTTGCCGTAGGTCCCGGTCTCCTATGACCCGGCAAGAGCGTCACGGAGCCAAAGTCAGACCCCTACCTACGGGTGCTCCATCACAACAGAAGCTGCTTCCTTCCCTTCAATCATGAGTACGTATGTGCTCGCGGGCTTGGCCAGCCAAGTGAGATAAGAAACAACAGATTTACACATAGAAAATCGATCATAGAAGTTAATTCAACATAACCTCCACTGCTATGTACGCACTTAGTACGTTTATACGTTTTTTGCTTACACATTAAGACGTTGAAAGAACAATTATCGAAATAATATAATACTGAGTTTAACATTCTCGTCGAGTATAGGAAGTTATATACAAATGGGGAATCCTGAAAAGTTGAAATATCGTAAAGCGTAATTTAAACATTTTTTAAGAATTACAGAAAATCAGAATTATAAAGGTATTGTTGAATGTTAAAATTTCATCTTAATAATGCCTTCTCCTGTAAGAATGAATTAACAAATAAGCACCATTATTTTGTTTGAAGAAATTAAAAAAAATTAATCTTACAGCATATATAAAAGTTTAATTATAACCGCAGAGGTCGCGATTATCACACTAGTAACGTGAACAAAAATAACCAGGGGCTTTAACTGTGTGAACCAGCAAATAGTAAGAGTTGTGGTGAGATCTTTTCACTTCAGATCCACGAGGTGAGTGGGCAGTGGAGCGTCATAATGAAACACAGATGCTATCAGGACCAGCTCTTATCTTTAGATATAATAATTATTGTAGAAAGTGAAAATAGGTGCAAAGCGTGCATGTATATACTAATAGTGTAAATAAAAATTAAAATAAATAGAAAGATAAGATGCCTTCATCCAGATACACAACTAGCTGCTAGTATAGCAGCTTACAATACAATAACTAACTAATGGCAAGTAATAAAAACCATGTTGAATCATAACCATCCCTTCATGCTACTGGCAAATTCCGAAACAGGGAGACGTGTTTTTCTTAATAGGGTAGGCTTTCTCGTCAGCCTTATGCCCTACAAAGATATTAGGATCACTACTATTATACCACACAATAACATCACACACATCACCGTGCCTAGTAAGTTGTCCCTTGCACGGGAATACCGTGGTGAAAAAGTCTGGACTGGGCTCCGTGACGCTTTTACAGTCGTATGAGACCGGGACTATGACTTAGAAAGTGGATCTGGACCCACTACAAACATTCCTCCATAACGCTCCTCCACCCTCCTGAACCCGGAAGCCTACGGCACCGAGCCCAGAGCAGGCCCATATATATATATATATATTTATAAGCCATACCTAAGACGCTGTGTAATTTAATATATATATATATATATAATAGCTTGCTTCAATAAACCCATTTCAATAAAATTTAAAAGATTTCTACTTTTGATTTGATATCCACATATATTTAAAACAGATTATCAAGCAACATTTGGTATAGGTGCAATAAAGTCACAATAAAATATGAGTATAATGGCCGATAGGTGTTTCACTTAGGTATTCATTTATCATAGCAATATCAGACATACAAGATATTACAATTGATATAATGATATTATCTGTATTGGGACATTATCCCAAATAGATAAACCCATGAATAAGTTTAAGTTCTTTTTAATGCAAATCTAAAAATGTGGAATAAATATCCAATAACTGACATATAAATCAAAATCAAACACAACTATCCTTGAATTCTTAACCAAAGCATTACTATCTCGTTTTTGCGCCAGTCTTCAGATGCTGACATAAAATCGTCCGAAACGATAAAAATAATCCAATGAAACAAATATGTATAATTTTACATACAATATGTCATCGATACTTCATAACATACCACTGCTATAATTAGTCATCAACGGATTGGACATTACACAAATCAATCTCCAATGTAAGCAAACATCATAGATACTGTAAAGCCATTCCATGACGTATGCGTATAGGAATCACTACGAAGGTATCGAATCGAATAAAATGACATCCAACTTGTGGTCTTCACATTAACGCAGCCACAGGGCGTATATTTCCCCACAATTAGGCACACAAAATCAAAACTCAGCAACCGCGATTCCGCTTTCGGCATCAAGCGAATACCCAACAGAAATCCGTGCCAAACCCTACACGTTTCGAGTGACACGTAATTTCCAAGTGCGCACGAACAAAATATCACAGTGTGAACTGTGTAGAGAGTGTCATCGAACCCCCAGACACACTCCCGAACCATCAGGCCCCAATATATATATATATTCATCCCACTTGGTCGGCAACAATAATAATATTTATAGACAAAGTCCAAGTTGAATACATAAAATATCTCATGAAGGAGAAGAAAGGTGGATGCAACCTCTGTTGTGATGGAGAGAACCTGTAAGTAGAAGTTTGACTTCCCATTGTGACGCTGACTTTTACGAGGTAGGTTATCAGCCCAACGGCCACAAGAACCAAACCCATACTGAATCAGAGGCAGGACTCACAAAGCAGCGGATTCCGAACCACCGGCAGCATGGCACTGCCAGGACACGAACCCGAAATCGCGTCATTCAGCCATCGCCTTCTCTCTCTCTCTCTCTCCTTATATATATACACATATAGCTCGTTTAATAAACCCACTTGTAAAACTGGCAAGATTTCTTTTATTGACTTGTTTTTCATATCACACTTATATTAAAACAGATAAGTAACGCGTAACTCTCCCTTGGTGAGTATCTAACTTTTCAAGATATAATGGCCGATATGCATTACTTGGTATTCTTATCATAGCAATATCAGACATACACATTATGCTCCTCCGATATATTATTTGTATTGGGAATTTAACCAAAAAAAGATAGACGTGGATATACGCCGGAATAAGTTTAAGTACTCTTCCTTTTAACGCAAATATAAATTGAATAAATATCCACAATCCGATAAATCATAAAAACCATGAAAATATAACTTTCCTTGAATACTTAACTGAAAAGCATTGCCATTTCGTTTTGGCGCAGTCTTCTTCAGCTACCATAAAATCGTCCGGATAATGATAAAAAATTATGCAGAGTCCAATGAAAACAAATATCTATAATTCTTATCGATACCATAACATACTACAATTAATATCAACGTACATACAATTAGTCATACAATCAGTTATTACACAAAATCAACCAACAAAATACAGTTCCTCAACATTGATATCACGAAGCTATCTTCAATGAGGTATGTTACTAAAGGTATCATGTAAAACATCTATACAACGCCTTTATTACGATAAAAATATTATGAACTAATGGAAAAACAAATATTCATAATTCCATATTTATCGATACCTGCAATTAGTCAACAATGGATTGACATTACAAATCAATCAACAAAAATACAGTTAAACATAGATACTGCGACGCCATCCATGACATATGTGACTCAGCGGTATACTGAATCGAATAAAAAAAATGACAACGCAAACTTCTGGCCTCACATATTAAAGTAGCCCACAGGGTGTATATTTCACGCCAATTAGGCACACACAGAATCTGAAACCAAAAAGGACCCTGATTCCGTTGAGGCAAGCGAATAAATTCCAGATCTTAGAAGCTTCCCGCCATCGCTTGAGGACACGTAATTTGCGTGAGAAAACACGAACTTGTATCATTGGGCGTAAGCAGCCGCATTACTATGCACAAAAAGGTCTTTTATCTTCACATCAATTCCATCACATTTAAGATACTTACACGCGATGCTGTGATACAAGGTAAGTGGGATTATGACCAAGACACAAGGAAAGTGTGTATAATAATCAAATAAAGTACTAAAAAAAAGGACCTACAGAGAGGAGGGAAAATTATTAATGACATGATGATGTCTAGTTCACTGCACGCGCTTATTTATTTATTTATTTTTTACTACTTTGAAAAGAATGAAGTGAGTGTGCACTGTAGATATGTATATTTAGTGCTTCAATTAAAAACAATTTGTAGTACCATATCTAAAATAGTTTTAGTATCACTTATAGAAGAGAGATTTCTGAACAGACTTAAGTGGACAGCCAGACGCATAAAATAGCTTAGCTCAACACACATATACATAAACTAAAAAAATTAATAAATTATCCAAGGTATAAATTTTTGTAATATTTCCTTTTAATACAAATCAATAATATAATTAAAAATGAACAGTTTGCGTAATATAACAAGTTTTAAATTATTTTGCTATTTTGTAACCAAATGCAAAATTAGTGAGATTTACTTTTACTTGTAGAAGAAGTCTATTTATCTTTTATACTTAAGCCTAAAATGCTCACAAAAATATGTTTATACAAACAGGTTTCACCTTATACTTTGTAAAGCCGTAACCACATCTTTCCTGAATTAAGTTTTTTAATGGAAAACGTTTTTGGCAACAACATCGTACAAATAAAATATGCGTAGATGAGAACTCTTAATCTAGCCAAATGAAGACAGTTGACAAAAGATGTAACTAACAAAATAAAATAAGAATAATTTTTTTAGCTATTATGTTTAAAAATGTTTAATAAGTAACCAAAAATTAAATTATATATTCTTTTTCCCTGAAAAAAAATTGCTAAATTACATTATGCTTCAAGAGCAAATCCATACAAATACAAAGAACAAACAAAGATAGAAATAAAAATTAATTAAATCTGGAAAGAAGGGTGTGTAATATCTGAGCTCCTAATCACAGATTATTTCATTCTTCTGGAACATACACTTACTACTCCTCGAATTTCTAGCAGACTTTTAATCCATCCATGCGTTTTTGAGGTTCCATTTATGGTGGTAAAAGCTCCCTCCACATCATAAAAGATTTGGAAAATATCATTGACTCAGGACGTCACAGAATTTAAAGAGAAAAGAACCTCAAAAATTATTTTTTGTGCATTTATCACACATCCTGAC